TAAAAATAGACATAAAGAATTATATTCTTCTTATGTTTACACATAAGTCCAAAAATCTCACCATATACAACCTTGAAGCAGGACAGTCCCACAATATTCATTTTCCTGTCTCTTGCTTTCATTCACCACCACCTTCTTTTTGAACAACCATCTACCCAAGAGACAACCTAGCAGTACCTGGCATGTCATGACAAGCAGCCCGTATTCAGAAGGCCAGAATGACAGGCACTCCAAATATGAAACTACTATTACAGATTACTATTTTCAGTGCAGTTGCTTAGTTCAAAGGTATCAGTATACAGTTCTGCCTATTCAACCCCTTGCAGTTCCAGGGGAAGTGGTATGCCTTGGCTGTGGCAGAGAACACAATTCGGAATGGAAGTGAAAGCCAGTTTCAAATGTACAGCATCACCTTCGACCTGAATAAGGACCATAGCTACAGTGTCTCCACCAAAACACAGAGGTGAGCCTCCACATTGCTTGCAAGCCTGGGAGGCTGACTGATGTTCCTGTTAAGGAGTGATCAAAGTTGATGGATACTGTCATTCTTTCTACTGCAAAGAATCAAATCTCCTCTCTCATTCAGTCTTCTCTTTCTGTCTCTGTCCTCACTTCCTTCCTTCCCTTCCTTTCTCTCTGCCTCTCTCCAACCCAGCAATGTTCATGAGTGGCTCCAGTAGAGACACAGAGTATTTTAAGACAAGACATAAAACAGGCTGTCCCAGAGAGGAAGGAGGAACATTGGACCCAGCCTGGTACTCTATCCAAAACCTCTGTCTAAGGCTTAAAGGGAATTGAGCTTTCAAATGTCAACCTGCCTGTGATCCCAGTAGGTTCAAGTCAATACGTTAAGCCAGGAAGATCACAAGATTAGATTTTTTGATCAAGTTTTCACTATATAGTTCAGGGTATCCTTAGATTCACTGTGTTACCCAGGCTGGCCTCAAACATTGAGCAATCCTTCTGCCTCAGCTTCCCATGCTCAGGGAGTATAGACAGGTATATGTCCTCCTACCTGGTTTGGTGGATCATAAGTTTGAAAGCAGCCTGAGAAATGTAATGATACCCTATCTGGAAATACAAAAATAAAAAATAAAAAAGGGCTAGGAATGTAACTTAGTGCAGTGTACCTGGGTTAAATTCCCACTACCAACCAAAAAGAAAAAAAGAGAGAGAGCCACAGCACGGGATGCTGGACTCTGAGTCAGAAAGCCTCATGCATCAGTATGGGTTCCTGAGCAGGGCTGATAAGAAGCCAACAGGGAGCTCCAGGCCAGTTTATGTTACATCTTAACCTAGTCAGGCCCTGGCATGGGACTCCTTCTTGGGCTGGCATTTGGGTGCAGCTGCTGTAGGGGAGGTTGCAAGAAATTCAAAGATGAGGTGTGGCAGTCCCAGATGGGAGATGAAAGAGATGATGCAGATTAGGACTCAGGGCAAGGGTAACCAGGCTCACACACCTGAAGTGTGTTCTGTTTCTGGCCCCTGGGTGGATTGAAATTGGAGCATTTGAGAATCAAGAGGCACACAAAGAAAGCAGGTTTTTAAGGGGCTTGGCTTAGTTGTCACGTGGACTCAATAGAGGCCAGGTGTGACCCAAGGGCTACAGCAGTGCTTGGATTGGAGAAGACCAGTGGTTCAGACACAATGGCTGAGAGAGATGGGAAAGGGGAGGAGAAAGATAAGAGTAGGATCAGTTCCTGCATCCATGTGGGGAACAGGCTGCTGCGGGGAGGCAGCAGGGGGTACAGTGAGTGCTGGATGGATGACTGAGTCAATCCTGCAATGCACCATCCAGAGGATGAAGAAGAAGCTCAGGGACATGGTAATGGGTCAGGCTGGGATCCAGACATAATTGTAGAGAGGTTGTCATGGGCTGGACTGGTGCCTCAGGATCCTGCGGCAGCTGTGACCCCACTTGGTGAAGTGCAGGTAGCCCAAGACTGCATCCTATCCTTGCTCACTCCACTAACTTCTTTCACACCCACAGGGGCCAGGACTGTCAAAACTGGGACTTGACTTTCGTACCAAGTCATGTGCGAGGCCAGTTTGACCTGGGCCATAAGAAACGTGAGTCATGGGGGAAGGGGCTGAGACTGGGACTCAAGCACAGTTTTTCCAGGAGGCACAGGCCCCCCACCCTCCATAGATCCTGCAGAGAAAAGCTCCAGGAATAACCCCCAGTATCCACACTGCAGTTTACCCTGGAATACAAACCTACACCATGAGAGTATCGTCTACTGACTACAATCAGTATGCCTTGGTGTTCCTCAAGATGAAATTCAAAAATCATCTCTTCTATGAGACCACCCTCTATGGTAAGTTCTCACATCATCCCCTCTTGGACTAGTTTCTTGGTCACACTTGTGGTGGGACACCCTGTCCCCCAAGACTCCAAAGTCTCTCCCACTTCATGTGGCCCTCTGTGGGAAAAGGCTCTGAGGTTCCATTCCCATGACAGTGTGATGGATTCACCCTCTGGTGGTAGCACACACCTACCATCCTTGTATTTGGGAGGCTGTAGCAAGGGGATTGAGTCATATTCCATCTCAAAACAACTAAAAATCAAAAAATTACAGAGTTCTTTCTCTTGGTTACTCATTACCATCTTGGCCACAGGGAGAACCAAAGAGCTGAACACTGACCTGAAGGAGCGCTTCATTGACTTCGTCACAGATATTGGTTACGATAATGAAAACATCATCATCCATGACTCAATTGGTAAAGACTAGCTGGGGTGAGAGGAAGGTGGTGTGGGATCTGTACAGTCATGATGCTGCTTTACCCAAGAAAAGGGACAAAAGAGACTCAATCACAGGAGAAGTAGCGACTCCTACTCTGGCATTTGTGCTCTCCAGCAACCCTGGCCCCAATTGCTCTTGTAGATGATTTAGTCAAGGCCTAAATAGACTACAATTTCGGGTCTAATCCAAGTTTTCCCAGTCTCATTGCCTCAAGTGCCATCTTACCACACCTTGGGTTTTGCTTCTTTGGCCTTGCCACCTCCTCTCCAAACTTTGGATCTTGCTGTCCTTGATAATTCCTGATATGGGTGATGTCCTTATTTTTAAGTTATCTGGCATGAATACAAAGGGTATCCTTATTCTATGTGGCTGGGCCAGACAAGGGTTGAGGAAGCCAGAGGCAGCCAAGTATCACTCACTCACACACACACACACACACACACACACACACACACACACACACACCTGCCTGATCTGATTTTTTTTTCCTCACCACAGAAAAGTGCATTGATGACTGAATGCACAGTGAGTATGGTGGGCCAGTAAGATAATGGGAAGGCAGGGCAGGGTGGGTTGGAAGCCTCAGGACTGCCTTTGTTCTTTCCTTTTGCCCATTTTGAACCACAGCCATCTTTCCCTTCCATTCTCTCTCAAATGCCTCCTGTCTGTCCACAGAAATGAGGCCTGTGACCACCAGATACTGTGTGCCAGGGTGCCATCTGGCTTCCCCACCAGGCCAGTGACAACCAGAAGACCCATCTTACAGAACGGTGGTGCCCAACCATTGTTGCCTCAAAATCCAC